ACTTCGATATCTCTTTAAATCTTCGATATGAAATCAAATTTTGCTGCAACATTCAAGTATAAACAACGCTCATCAATGGCGTTCCTATGTTAGAGCCACACACGCTATTGCCCACGGGGTTGAAATCGTTGAGCCAGCAGGCCTTGACCTTCTAGTAGGTGTTGGCCAATCTCGGCATCGAAATATTACCAAAAATAAAAGGGGTACCTATTTGCAAACTTTTACCAAAATTGTTCTACATAAACTGTTCAGAAAAGACCTGATTATTTTCGTGAAAAAATAAAAAATAAATAGTAAAATTTGCTAGAAATTAACAGAAATCTATGAATAGACAATTACTTATTTACAGTGTGCTTAATTTAGTTGCAAACTACGTACACTTACTATGAAAATTCAAGTTTTATTGTTGTGCTTTCAGGTAAGACTTGCTGTGAAACGACGGTTCCTGGAGAATGGGGTTGCTGCCCACAACCCAACGCTGTCTGCTGTTCGGACGGACTTCATTGTTGTCCACACGATATGGTCTGCAACCTTGATGAAGGCCGATGCGATGCCAAAAATGGTCTTATACACCCATTGTTAATTAAGGATCCTCCATCAGACAACATTAAGTCCGAAGTGGTGAAAGTTGCCAACAAAGTCGACATTATTTACTGTCCAGGAGGTTATTATTACTGTCAGGACGGAGCTACTTGCTGCCCTCTGCCAAATGGAGCATACTCATGCTGTCCTTACCCATCTGCTTCGTGTTGTGCTGATATGATACATTGTTGCCCTTACGGTACTCGATGTGATGCAACTTCCAGATATTGCCTCAGAGGAAATAATCTTTATCAAGCTCTTATTAAGAAACCTGCTTTTCCTATGAGTTAATTTGTTAATCTATTTGTTAATCGATGGTTTTGTATTGTTTATAGACCTGTTATAGACTATTGTTGTTTATAGATTATAGTATTGCTTGTAGATGGTTTTTGCATTGTTTATAGACTGAATAAAAATTAAAGGTTGCTTTGTGCACAGAAATTTTGCCAAAATAAATTTCCTATTTTAAGTTCGTCAGTATTTTTAAAAATTTAGAAATTGATTTTTAAAAGTGCTTGGGACATATTTTCTTAAAAATATTTTTAAAAATAAGTTTTAATTTTAGATTTTTTTTCGTGCTTGTGTAAAATACTATAGATAGCATTAATATACAGAAAAAAAATGTTCAAAAATTTTATGAGATTTTTTAAACAAATGTCAACGAAAAAACGAAATGTTAAAAAAAAATCAATGTTTTAATTTTTTGATATAATTCAAAATTATGCATTGAAATTAATTATAAACTATTTATGTAAAATAACTATTATCCATACTTTACTTTGACTTTAAATAAAAATCTCTGATGCTAAAATTGCATATTTTTTCGTTTTACTATTTGTTCATGAAATTTGTAGAGCAAAATTTATGCAATAATTTTTAATTTCCTAAAGGAAAATAACAGTATAATAAGTAAAATTTCTAAATTCAAAATTTCATACAATTGTCTTTCATAGTTTTTTGAGATTTAGGATGCGCCAAAAGTTAAATATCTAGAAATATATTCATTGAACCGGAATAATAATAATAGTAATAATAGTAAAATATGTGTTTCTTACCATAAAAAATTGCTTCCTAATGATGCCAATCTCAATGATACTGAACTCCTTCTTTAGGAGTAGAGGTCGAGTTTAGTATTATTGAATATTTTTTATTAAGCTACGTATTATTATTTTTTGACTTTAATTTCTCGAAATATCTTAATTTAAAACAACTTCTACCCCATTTTCATTTTTGTCGTTCACAGCTCCATCTGTGAGGCCAAATGAAAAAAAAAACATGCATCAACTTGATGTACTTTTTTTTCTGAAAAATCCAAATGTGCAATAAGAATTGAAATTTCTGTTTAAAGATCCCTTTCGTCAAAAGAGTGATTTTTCTTTCTTATGCTAACTAACGAAGAAATATGCAATCACAATTTCTTTATTTCTTCAATAACTAATCAATATTTTGGAATATTTTTGTTTAATGTTTTTCAAAGAAATGTAGCTTAAGAATTTTAGTTAGCAAATTTTAAATTCTAAGGTTGCAATTATTTTTATTACAATGTTTATTTTTAGCGTTTACGGAAAATTTTTAACAGGACTTTATAGCTTGTTGAATTTTTTTTCTTTTTTAAGCTTAAGGCTAATGTTTTCAGTCTAGATTAATAAACTGATAAAAATAATCTGGATTCCTAAAATTATGATAATAGTTTAAAATCGCAAAATTTTATTCCCCCTCTAAAATGTATGGAGAAGATTCACCTATTGCGAAGACTATTCCCCACAATACAGAAGTTGGTGAACCTTCATTGTGTAGGAAAAGTGGGGGNGGGGGGGGGGGGAGGATTCTAGAACTAGAGAAAAGGAAATTTACCTATATGACATATTCATCTGAGCGCCAGCGCGTTTAAGGGGTTTAACTCATTCGTCTGATTGAGTAAATTTTATATTGTTTTATAACCGTCGTTGAACAGTCGACCCAAATTTAGAGTTTATGACTATTAATGATTAACTCCATAGCCTTGTAATTTTGAACCCAATCCAGAAGACAAGGGAACTCCTGGATCAAGTATTAAGGGAAATTTGCCTTCGTGGAGGACTTTTGAGAGAAATAACCGGCATTTGCGTTACAAGGAGAGGAAGACCACGAGGACCTTCCACGATTAGCCTGACCGCAAGGGGACTCTAACCCATGTTCCATCTACCCCTGAGGATATTTCACGTCAGCACTGCGGTTGGTGCAAGCCGAATGCGGAATTCGTATCGATCAAGCATTGCTGAGATTCGAACCTGGTTCACCTCTTTGGAAGGCGAACGCTCTATCCCCTGAGTCATCACGGCTCTGATTAAATAAATTGAAATAATTGGTGTGGGGGGGTGCCTTATGTCTTGGGGGCCAGCTTCTCCCACGGCTTCCACAGGTTGATAATCAGGAACAATCCTGATTCTGTAACAAAATTAAAAAATATGATAATAAGAATAAAACAAAATTATTTACAATGAGAAAGAAAGAGCCGCGATGGCTCAGGGGATAGGGAGTTCGCCTTCCAATGAGGTAAACCGGGGTTAGATCCCGGTGATGGCTGGTCGATGCGAATTCCGCATCCGGCTTGTACCGACCGCAGTGCTGACGTGAAATCCTCAGTTTAGTTTTAGACGGATCAAGGATTAGAGTCCCCCTGCCGTCAGGCTAACCGTGGGAGGTTCTTGAGGTCTTCCTCTGCATGTAACGCAAATGCGGGTTAGTTCCATCAAAAAAGTCCTCCTCGAAGGCAAATTTCTCCTAATACTTGATCCAGGAGTTCCCTTGTCTTCGGGATTGGGTTCAAAATGACAAGGCAACGGAAAAGAACACTGGTAGTCGTAAACTCAAACAAATTGGGTTGGCTGTTCAACGACGGTTATAAAATAAAATATAAAATGAGAAGGAAAATAAGAAAGCTATTTTTATAATCACATGTATTACAATTTAGTGAATTTTTAGAGAAAGAAGCCCTTAGCTTGGCAATATGTCCATTGATGTTATCCATATCGAAATTTTCCCTCATGTCATTCATCTTAATAAACCATGGAGCACCTGTGATTCTTCTTAAAATTTTATTCTCTATTTTAAGCAGTTTTTTCCTTTGAGTTTTGGTGGTTGCGTTCCATCAGGCAAGTGCAGCGTAGCTTATTATTGGCCTAATACACTGTAAGTAAAGTGTATGTTTAGTTTTTAAATTTAATTTAGAATTTTTCCCAAGAATAGGGTTTAGGGCTTGGAAAGCACCTTCCGCTTTTCCCATAATATTCGTAATATGAGCATTCCATTTAAGGTTTTTAGTAATTCTCACTCCTAGAAACTTTACTTTGTTAAAATTTGGGACTTTTTCGCCGGTTTTTTTTCTTTTTGAAGTTTCTTTTAATGGTGATTAGGGATGATTTTGTTGCATTTTTAGCTGCTTTCCAGGTGGAACACCAATTTTCTATTGTAGGTATTTGTTTGTTGATGTCTTGTACAGTTTTAAAAGAGTATATTGATTTGCTTAGAATAGCTGTATCATCAGTACAAAATGCAGTAGTTATGTTTTTGCTTAATGTAAATTTTGGAAAATCAGCGCAGTATATTACAATTAAAATTGGTCCTATAATGAACCCCTGCGGGACTCCAACTTCTATGTCTCTAGTTGTAGATATTGCATTATTTACTTTAATACTAAACAATCTATTAGTGAGGTAACTATTTAGAATTAAAGTGAGGTCTTCAGGTATTTTATTTTTATAAGCTTATAAATTAGCCCCTGATGCCAAACGCGGTCAAAGGCTTTGGCAACGCCCAGCATCAGTTAGGCTGTGGTCTCTTTTCGATAGAAATTTTGGGATATATTTTCAATTATGCGCACCGATTGTTTTCTAGTTGATAGGTCTTCACGGAATCCAAATTGTTTATTTGCCAGGAAGCCGAGAAAAGTTTTAAGTCTCTTTAAAATAATTTTTTCGAATATTTTCGAGAAGACAGTAAGCAAGCTGATCGGCCTAATAATTTTCAGAATTTAGGTGGTTTTTTCCTGGTTTTGGGAAAAGTACCATTTCGGCATGTTTCCAATTGTGTGGGAAGTAGTTGTATTTAAAGCAAGAGTTAATTATTGTGCTAAGTTTTAATATATTTAGAGGTAATCTTTTGATCATGATTTTTGTTATTCTATCTTGGCCAGGTGCTTTATTGTTTTTGAAAATTTTTGCAATTGAGTTGATTTTTTTCTGGTGTGGTTTCTTCGATAGTGATTATGAGATTTTTGATTTGGATAAAATTATCGTATTCTTCTTTAATTTTCATCACTGAGAAAATGTCACTGGGATATTTATTTAGTGAAATTGATTTTCAATTCTATCAGCAAAAATCTCTGCCTATCTTAGAAAGTTTTCCCATTTGCACCTTGTAATGGCATATTAGTTGTCTACGTAGTTTTTAGAGACTTAACCATTTTCCAGGCCGAGTTATCCTGGGTTGTTAAACTTTGGACATTCTCGTCTCGTTCTTTATTTTCATATTCAATGATTTGTTTTTGTATGCTTTTGATTAATCAGTTCACTTCTGATGTGATTTTTGGGTTTATAGTTCTCTGGTAGTCTTTTCTTAATTTATTTTTGATTTTTATTTGTTATCTAATGCTTAGTATTTAGCTCTGTTTAGTCAACTTATTTCACCACAAAATATTTCTTATAATAAGCTAAAATATCCTTTCCAATAGGCAATACGAAATACGCAATACAGTCCTTTGTTTAATAAAGTATATCTACTATAAAATATTTTTTATAGGAAGCTACTATATTCTTAATAAACAATGAGCTGTACAATAAATTTTCCCACTTTATCAGTTAGATTCGCTAAAAAATATCGTTTAATGTAAGCTACAATATAAGTTCGTATTGCTACAAGTAAGCAATACGAACTATAAAATTAATTATACTGTTTAACCAGCTAGATTCACTAAAAAATATTTTTTATAGTAAGCTACAATATTCTTAGTAAACAATGCGAACTATGCAACAAATTATTCTGTTTAATAAACTAGATCTACAATAAAATATCTTTTAGAGTAAGCTACTATATTCTTAGTAAACAATACGAACTATACAAAAAATTTAAAATGTGAATCAGGAAAAATAATCAGTTGAAAATATGAATCAGTAAATACTCTTTTTTCTTCTACAAACTTTCAAGCGTTTCCTTACAAATTAGAAATGTTATCAGTTCAACGATAACGATGTATGTACTTTCCAATGTGCAACTAAAAGTATTATTGACCATAATATATGCAATATTTCTATTATGAATTGTATATAAGTGTTGACAGAATGTGAAAAATTATCAAATTAATTTATGACGCTGTTTAGGAAAAGTATAACTACAACAATATCTTTCTAAGGTAAGCCATATTAATATTTAATTTTATATGTAACTTCAGTTTTGCAAATTGAACGCTTTCTGCTAGTCTTATTACTTTTATTACATAGATTTTACTACATTTTGAGGTTGCATTGGAGGCCTATTTTATCTGTATAGAATTCAAGTCGTTTACATATAGAAACTTAGTAATTTATTACATTGCCCGCAAAACCATGTGGCCCTTTTCTTTATTCTGAATAATGATATAAAATTTGTAAACTATAGAATACTGACTAAACAGCACAAGGATAACTAAGCATAATACTGTCATTGTCAACAATTTGCGCAACTTAACTAAAATTAAATAGACGACTAATTGCAAAACTCGCTAACGGTTCAGCGTCATTTGATAAAAATATTAAGAACCACAACCTGTACTCTTCAACTATACATGTAATAAAATTATATATGCTTCCAGATGGATATCATACCAAGGGCCCACCACTTTTTAATCTTTCATTTCTGACTAATTTATAGTTCTCAATTCTGTCTAATTTATAATTTCGCTGCTTAAGCTTTAAATCGTCCATGTGAGATCGGAATTTTCATTGAGAAATTCGTAAACGCGTCTGTTCCGTGTTCGTGCTTATGACTTATTCATTTGCTTGATATATGCCAGTCTTCAGTTCCTTGTTGCCAATACATAAAAAGAAATTTCATCGGATTTTTCAAACAATATACACAATAGTGTTTGTAGGAAATGTAGGCATCATACAGTGATATGTATCTTACAGTAAGATATGAATACTATCTAAAAAGGATATGGCATAAATGTTGTCCTGCCTCTATTTCACTGGAATCACTATTTCAATGTTTTTTTAAACCTGTTTATTTATTCCAACTCATTTTATCATTGTACTCATTAATCTTCTGAAATAACAATTTTACAAGCATTAAACCTTATCAAAAACTGCCGAATTCTTGATTATCGCTTATTACTCCAATATCATTGTTTTGAGATTGACTCTATATAAGCCTTATCTGTTGTATTTTAGTTTTTGTAAAAGAAATAGGACGAGATAAGATCTCAATGAAAATAAAAAAGAAACTTTGAATGCAAACTATCAAAAGAAGAATCTATTCAGAACTCCATGATTATTTAGTGTTTTTAACTACGTACGGGTATTATTATAAATAATTTCTAATATTTATTTTTTATCAAATATTTCTATTGTTATTATCAATTTCAACAAAATCCTTAAGTTCATTACAAGATGGTGTGTTAATTATTGAATATGCTTTATTTGATTTATGTATTTAAATTTATCATACAATCCTAGTGATTTTTTTATAAGATAATTTTAAATTTTTTTTCTCCCGAAAATAAAAATGCGTGGCTATTTCTATACTTATTTTTCTTAGTTTAATGATATTTTATACGGAATTTTGTTTATTGCATACAAAAATAGCATTATCTGGATGTGTAACAAATGTTATGAATCTGTACGATATAAATAAAAAATAAAAAGCATTTTGCAATTAAAATTGAAACCTCGATTAAAACTCAAATGAAGGAAGTAAGATTTCCTAACAGCAGTATTACAATTCCGTCTGTAAACTATAATTTAGATTTTCTGAAGAAAAAGAAAGAAAACCTCTTGCTAATTTCTTAAAAAAATGAGCGATTATAATTAAAGAAACGATTTTTAATTCTTTTATAACTAAAAAAAATTGATGTTTTATCGTAACTAGTGCAGTTTTGGACCAGTTTCTAAGTTACTATGTTACAAGTTTTGGGTCAGCTTTTTTAGCTTTACTATGATTTCTAAGGACAAAAACTTTTATAGAAATAGTTTGAAAGTTGCGTAAAATTTAAGGGTTAATTTTTAAAGGAATTCTTAAAGGAAATAATGAATGAGTTAATTTTTAGAATGCAACAATTAGAGGTTAATCGTTTTGTTTCCCGCCGTTAATTTTTAGAATGCAACAATAAGAACATAACTGTTCTGTTTCCCACTGTTATTTTTTAAGAATACGACAATCAGAGGATGATTGTTTTGGTTTTTTTCAGTTATGTTTAGAATACAACAATTAGAGGATGATCGTTTTGTTTCCCACAGTAATTTTTCAGAATACAACAAATAGAGGAATATCGTTGTGGCTCTCATAGTTTTGTTTAAAATACAACAGTTAGAGAAAAATTATTTTGAAAAATGCTTGAAATTGTTTTGTTAATTGTAAGTTTTTAGAATACAACAATTAGAGGATAATCTTTTTAAACGTATCCTGTAGTTATAATTTTTCTGAAATATTAAATAATTATCATTGTACTTTTGTTTTTTGTTTTCCTTTTTATTATACTATTGATATAGCTTCAGTATAATTGAAAATAATTAATCATGTACAGTAACAAAAAAGGAAAATAAAAATGAATCGTTAACGTTTCTTAAAAAATAAAAAATGTTTTTTTCAGGTCTGAAAATGTACTATTTATTAGTGCTATCGTTTTGTGCTCTCTTCTGTTCTGGATCCTGCACTAAAGGTAAGTTAAGTTGTTTTTTTTAAATTTTTAATTTTTTAATGTTGAATTAGATTTAAAACTGCATCTATCTATGATATCACATAGAAGTTGTTTCAGATGAATAGAGAAATTTTCTAATATTTTTTTATAACTTTTAATATTCTTACTTGGACCTGTGAAAAACAGAACTTATTTTGAAAAATATTTAAATGAATTAAAAAATTTGAAACAAAAAATATTATGTTAGTATTATTTCAGTTACTTTTAGTAAATGACTGTTGGTTTTAAAAACTATACAGGTCCAAATCTACAGACTAAATATTTCAAAGAGCATTTTATTTTTTATCAAGAACTAATAAAAAATTTGAAATTAGAAACTAATTAAAAGTCTGTTTGCTTAATATAAAATTTAAGCAAAAGTTAGTATATTATAGTATAATATTTTCTGTTAGGTAAAGATCGTTGAACTATTTTGTCTCTGAACATTTTGTCAATCAGTGAGCACATGAATCATATTATTTAACTTTAAAAGATTTCCCATTTTCTATTTTTTTAAAATCAAAACTTTATATCAACGAACTCACAATTTAGGAAATCTGAAAAGTTGAAATCATACTTTTTGGAATTATAGAAGGCGTCTCAAAATTACTCGATTTCTCCACTCTCCTCACTTCTCCCTCTCTGTTACCAGGGTCTTAGCTAAACTTGTTTTTTCCTTTACACTTCAATAATAAATTGAAATATACTGGAGAGAGGAAAAACCAAGATTTGACGAAACCATGGAAAGAGCAAAGAGCGGGGATATTATGTAACCTTTAAAGCGCCAATTCAATTTACAAAGAGTATAGACGGTAAAGAGATCTAGTTGCAAACATTCCGTATCGTGATTAAAAATTTTGTTTAAAGAGAGAGAATCGAGGCATTTGCGCCAAATGTGCTGTTCTATACACAACTAACACAGTCCTATTTCAAGATTAAATAAAATTTCATTATTAAATAATAATTTTTAACGGGTAACCAGATAGGTTACTGGTAGATGGATAGGTCACAGACAAATCCCAACAGGTGTGAGTTCGAATAAAAAGTAAAAAATTAACAGTTGCTTCGGAATAGAGCGAGAAATCCACTATTGGCGATTTATCGAAAATGAATTTTCATTGAGAGTGAAACAAACAGCGCCAACCTTATGAAAACAAATTTTACTATTCAAAGAATTTTGAGAAAAATTAAAACTTTATAAGACTTTTCAAAAATAAAGAAAACATACAATGGGATGTAATTTTATGTTGATGTTAACACATTACCATTTTAAGGTATTTCAATAGACGTTAAAAGAAAGGAAGATTCAAGATTGATAAGAAGGAGATTGTCATCAACCTATTGTGTGACAATCTTGAATAATAATGTTTCTTTTTACATCTATTGAGAAAGGAATTAAAAATAAAAGCTAATTAAATTAAAGATAAATTTAAGCGTTCTTTGAAATTAAATGCTTTGAAATGCATAACACCAAAGTGGCATGACAAGAGCCTTGATTAAAATGTAAATTTTACTATAATCCATTTTATTTTTACAGTGATCCCTGAAGTTGCTTCGGAGGATAATGATGTCCAGAATAGCGTCGTGTATTGTCCAGGAGGATATTACTACTGTCAAGTCGGATCGACATGCTGTCCTCTTCCAAACGGAGCATACTCATGCTGCCCATACTCCTCAGCAATGTGTTGCGCAGATATGGTTCATTGTTGCCCATACGGCACTCGATGTGATGCTACCTCCCGATACTGTCTCCATGGTTACAGCCTGATGCTATCACAATCTAAGACACCTGCATTTCCTATGAAATAAACATCTCAGTCTTGTTTGACTTGTTTGATAATCTTATGTAAATATGTAATATAGAAATAAAGGATTCGTTTTATAATGTTTTTGTTTATGAAAACTAAAATTACATTTTAGAAGTGGTAAATTCAACCAGCAGTTTATAAAAAAAAATTGTTTAGTGGAGTCAAAAGTATTTAGCTCAAAACTTATAAAAGATAAAATAATTGACGGAAGATGTATAATTGTAATCACAAATTTATTGGCAGCATTTACTAAAGGTCAAAAAATCAAAAAAGTTCGACGTTCGAAAAAAGAAAGAGCGAGAGAGAGAAAGAGAGAGAAAGAAAGAGGATTAGAGAGAGAATTATGACCATGGTAGTGCTTCATTTGGCTTAAAAAAGTGTTTAATAAGCGTAGAAATGTTGATTATAATTTTCGTTTCTTGTATTAAATCTATGGAGAATTTTTTGCATAAACATCTCAAAAAGTTGTAATCTATTTTTTCTTGTTGTTGATAATGAAATTTTGCTATGCGATTAAATTTTGTTTTCATTATTATTTCTTTTCACTATTTTATATCAGTAATAAATGTTGATATCACATTAAAATTGCTGCAAAAAATAATGTTTGGCATAATTAAATCTTCACAATAAATTTTATTGTTTCTTCATTGAATGCAAAAAAAAAAACCTCATCAAAATCGTTTAACAACTTTCTAGGCGAACATTCTAGCAATTGAGTCAGACATTCACATTTTCTAATTAGCGCCGGAATGAATTCAGTCTTTTTTGAATTTATTTAACGTTACTGCTTTTGCTCTTAAATATTTAATGCTTCTATAAAATATTCTTGAATATAACTTTAATGTTTATACCTTGTTTAAAAATGAAAAGAAAAGTTTAGAAAAGAGGACTGATTAGAAATGCGAAAGGGCACAGTAACCTATAAAATAATTTTAAAAAAAATTAATGAGGAAAAAAAATTCTTAGAGAAATTGGGGTAACAGAGGAAACAATGGATGAAAAAGTCAGATCAGGGTAGAATGCAGGGTACAGACAGAACTGAGGTAACGTGCTTGCGTGTTGAGGTAACTTTTAACAAAATGGTATTTCCTTACATGTATAGGAATGTCCATATCATTCCTGCAGGAATGTCCATATCACGTAAATTTATTGTTTAGGATAATCTAATGTTTTTAAATGCAGCGAAAGAAACGAAAGAAGAACGAATGAATTCAAACCTTTTGAGAAGGGCTGCAGAAGCATCCCTAACTTCCATTTGGAAATTAAACTGGTTTGAACTTTTCTCATTCCTTCCCAATTGTGATTTGTCAAAATTCGTTTACGTTTTTGTTTCTTCCTCACTTACATATTAATTTGATATCCTTTATGTGAGAGATTTTTTAATCTACTTTTTTGACAAGGATTCTAAATTCACTGAAGTGACAAAAGTCACGGGACACCTCTTAATATTGCATCGGACCTTCTCTATCTCTAAGAAGCACATCAACTCGATGTGGCATGGACTCAACAAGTCATCATTACAAACCGAAATCGGGAATATTAATCAGAGAAATTTTTGTCTCATTCAAACCTGTAGAATTGAATAGGCAGCTAATCCTCTTCTTTACAGAGCGTGGCCTCTTTAAAGCGTATCTAAAAAGCTTCTGCCTGGCTACTGACAACACTTGTGCCTGTGGAGCAGTAGGAACAGTGTGGCACTATGCTATAGAACAGGAGTGGCCAAGCTCCTTAATAGTCGAGTCATTTTTCAAAATTTGAAATTTTTCCCAAGCCGAAATTAAATACGAATTTAAAAGGTATATAAAAAGGTATAAAAATTTTTTTTACAGAAATTATATTTATTGAAAACATATAAATAAAAGTACAAAATATGTGTATTGAATTTAAATATTAAAAATTAAACATATTTATTTTACTTCTCATGACAATTCTTTAAAATTTGGTGAATAATTGGTGACAGCATTTCTCAGTAATTCTTTGAGATGTTGGTTAGTTAAGACTGATCGGTGTTTGGATTTCAAGAATTTTAAAGTGGAATAAAATGATTCACATAAGTACGTAGTTCCGAATATTGAAACAATTCGACAAGCAGCCTTTTTTAATTTAATTTAATTCTGGTACAAATTTCCATAAATTCGGAACTTGCGGAATGATAATAACTTTTTTAAATATAATAGCACAAAAATGAAAAGGGAACTCGGGTAGATTTATCGAGAGCCACAAATAATCCTTCAAAGAGCCGCATGTGGATCGCGAGCCGCAGGCTGGCCACCCTGCTGTAGAATGTCCGCTTATAACATCCTACCACTTTACACAACCAAAGCTAGAATTCCTCATAGCCTGGAAGAGATCTATCTATAAGAATCCTAAGTTGAAACAGAAGGCAAATAAAAGTTAATAATAGCAATAAAATTATCTCTTTTTAATTGTAATACATTCAGGTGTATTCATAATCATCATTGATTAGAAACAAAAAGTCTGTTTTATCATATTTATAGAAGATTTTATTATGTTTTTTTCAGTTGTCAATAAAAATTCTGACAATTTGTTTAATTGAGCACAATTATATTTTAAAGTTTCACAAATATAATTTTGTAGCAAAAATATGCACACACAACAAATGTAGCTCAGGTTTAAAGAAGAACTTTAACATAACCGAGTGATTACCCAATATTTTTATATTCAAAGCTGAAGGAAATTGATTTTTAAAAAATAATCATGCTTTGCTAACATCAAAACAATAAAATCAGGGCGATATAATAAATTCATTAAAGATCACAGTGTAAATAATTACGATTCGTTATGATAATTACAAATAAAATAGCTACAATTAAATAATATATTTTGGTTAGTTTATTTACTGTTCAATAAAAAAACCGAAGCTCTTAATACAATTAAGTTTTACAAATATTACATAATAACAGATAATAAGAAAAAATGTGCGCATAATTACACACAAAACTATTGACTAAATAGTGAGAAAAATACATTCGTTAATGCGAAATAAATTAGGGGAAGTTGACGTTTCATTTTAAGAATGTCTAGGAATAATTAATTTGCTAACAGTGAAAAAAAGGCAAAGAATAAAGAAATAGATCAGAATACATTCTGGCCTATTTAATAAAATCAAATTATGAAAAATCCTCTTCGCATCATAACTGAATAAATTAGAGATAAAGCAAAAAAAAATTAAGCAGATTTGAATTATAAATTTTTAGCCGTTCAGTGCACATAAAAAAAAAATAAATAAATAAATGAACTACCTTAAAACATTTGTTCTAAAGATCAAATCTTCACGTTCTAGGACTTATTCTTAATGGTTCAAAGGGGTGACTTCAAATATGCTAACTAATAAGTGCAGGGGCGATATTTTAAGTTAATAAATCGGACACTAAAACGTACTTTATCTGAATAAACATATGCTATTTTTTCGATAGATTCTGATTTCTGAAATTCAAAATATAGGGAGTTACTGCAATCTGAGAAATAACCAAAGAGCTTTTCAATCGGATAGAAAAAGTTTTGCGCACAATTATAAAGGTCGTTTATAATTTCGTAAATTGTCTAAAAATAACTTTTTAGTAAATATTTGTAATTTATTTAACGATAGTTCGAAAAAAATTTTAATTGCAAAGCATACTTTTTTATATCATTTTAAAAAAAGGTAGTTAAACAAAAAATACAAAATTAGTAATTGATAGAGTAGTTTCTGAGAAGTTACTGATAGATACGGAACTCCGTATTCATACTATATGAATTTAGACCAACTTGCATAAAAGTTTTTTTTTTCTAAGTAGGCACTTTTTAAAAACTAAATAAATTTAATTAGTTTTAAAAGTTGCTTTTGAGGAAAAGGATAAATATAAATCATTGGAATATTTGGGGAAAAGAAGGCTTTTTGTATTTTTATGAAAATACATTATAAGAATGCGCATGCTTCGTAATTAAACAAACTCTAATTTTTCTATACATGCGATGCCTATTGTTTTTTTACATTCGTAAAATAAAGATAATTATTAAATAAAAAAAATTACTGTTATTGTTACTTTAATGATACAACTTTTTTTAAGAAACTAAACTGTTCCAATGGTTGGTTATAAACTACATATCATATCCTTAATATTATTTTGTTACCATTTTACTTTGATTATAAGAAACAAATATAATACATAAATAAAGGACACTTTATGAATCCTTTTAAAAACAGTATAACAACTTTTTAAAGTAATATGATCTGTTGTACTATAAGTATAATGTAAGTGATATATGTTGTAAAAGACTTATGAAATTTAAAAAAATAGTAATTATTTAATATAATTTTTTTTAAAAAAGGAAAGAAAATGACAATCTGAAATAAAAGAAAAGATATAGGAGTAAGAGTAAAAAATTTTGTCCCCGAGATACTATGGAAGCGTGTTCCATTCCTCGAAGAAAGTTTTATAAGTATTAAATAAATGTAATTTAAAAATACAAAGAGAACATGTCTTTATAAATTTAAAAGAAATCATTTTTTCCCTCCAAATTGTAAGTGTGAGGATTATTGAAACTTATACTTAAAGCGTTAAAATAGAATAAAAACTGTGAGTCAATAATACTTCTGTGGCTTAGAGTACAAAAAAGCAATGTCAACAACAGATGATATGTTCCTTAATCCAACCATTCAAAGAAAAAAAAATCGAACTTTTACAAGTAGCTTAACTAAAAATCTATCTATTAATAAATTGAAAGAAAAACATATCTCGGTAGTTGGCGCTATTTGCTGAACGCAATGAATGTTACTTTATACACACAAAATCATTTACTCATTGCAATTATTTTTCAAAAAAGTTAAAAAATTATGTTCCCAGTAACATTTGAAATTTTAACACTCGTTGTCTTTTTATTACACATTAATTTTAACAATAATGCATTATCGAGTATTTCATTATACAATATTCACTTTCTTTGTTTCCGGAAAATCACCGTGCACATTAAATGTTATGTCATAAAACAGTAATAATATAAACAACAAAGTATTATAAATTCTAATTTATAACCTTATAAGGAGGGAGAGCAAATGTCCCTCTCGTTCTACAAATACAGAGATGTCAACTTGCTCCGCTTAATGAGAAATTTGCATAGTGAGAGATGATTAAAAAATGTTGGGAGCCTATTATGTAAATGATCATTGACAACACTGGGGTGCAAATTTTTTTTTTATTACTATAAATATTTGATCTTGTTTAACTCGAGTGTGGGAATTTTAAATCTGAAATTAATTTTTCTCCTATTCCTACAATTTTTTTTTTTTTTAAAAAAAGACATTTTTAGTCTATTTTTTGTCGAAATGTGTAGCTTTAGTTTTAAAAGTGTTTTGAGTAAAAGGAGAGATGGTCACGAAAACGTTACGAGTTATTTCTAGGGGAGTTAGGACACATCTGCAGGATAGGAACTCATACCCGGAAATGCCGCCGTACGCGGCTACGAGCGCTTTTCTATTATGACCTGATCAAAAGCACGCAAAGAAGCAGTTCATAAGCTTTTCTATTATGACCTGCTCAAAAGCACACAAAGAAACAGTTCATAAGCTTTTCTATAATGACCTGCTCAAAAGCACACAAAGAAACAGTTCATTATGAGAAAGCGTCCCTAGTAGTGTATGACAATATTTCTGAGCATGGTTTCTTATGCAGTTTTAAACCTGATTTTCTGGCCTAACTCCCTTAGAAGTTTGCTGCATGATGTATGTGATCCCCTGTTATGTAATGTTTTTAAACTTGTACATTTCGACAAAAAATAGAATAAAAATAACATTAGAAAACCTGTTGCTTGGAGAGAGAAAACTATTGCAGATTTGATTTTAAATCAGCGACGTGAAAAGATCCAAGATCTGTTAAAAAATATCTTGCAACAGAAAACAAAAATACATTTGTGTCCCAGTGTAATCGATGTTTTGAGGATGAAACATTTTTTTATCGATTTTAAAATTTGGTAATCTCGTAAGTTGCGTTTTGTTCCAGGAAGAAATGAAAATCATTCGAAAATATAATGCTATAAAAATCATACATAGCTTATAAAGAGAGTAATATCAACACTTCATTGTTTGCGCGAAAGTATGATTCATTTTGATTATCTTTTCTTCTACAAATATCTTAAGAATTGCTCCGTATAGTCGAAATGATATCAGCTATTTATGTGTATTATACCTCAAATGATAACAAAATGTGTAATAGCAAAATATTATTGACTGTTGTATTTGCAATTTTCAGATTGTTCACTATAAATACAGATCGAAGAACGCAAAAAAATTAATTTGTTTTATTTTACTAGTTTTTTGAAGCTACAATAGCGAAGGAGATCTAATATAACGGTATGTCATTGTTAAAAAATTCATAAATGTAATATAATATATAAATGTGGTAATATAAATGTAATAATGAAATAATTATGCTAAAAATGCAATTTAGCATCAAGAATTATAAATTTTTTTGATATATATTGGCTGCGATATAATATTCTCTGCTAATATTGCATTCTTGATTTTGATTAGTGTTTAAAATCTGAAGCCTAAAACACAATATAACACTCTTATAATTTTTAAAGGTTTCAAATTTTAGTAAAAAAATAATCTAAAAAATATTTTAAATTTTAGTTTAATTTCAATTTTACTTATTTCAAATTAATCTTCAAATAAAAAGAATAGGGCTGGATAGCATAAAATCCTAGTATACGTAACACGCTTGGCGCAACTTTGAAACGTGTCGTCGACGCCGAAATGACGCGTTGATACTTGCTTCCACAGAGTTGCCAATGCCGAAATGGCAAAAACATGAAGATCGTAACCTGAAAATGGAAAAAGGAAAGTTAATAATATGTTTGGAGATACAGCAATTGTAATCACAAATCAAAATGTCAACTTGAAAAAAGAATATTATAAACATTCTTTTTCAGTCTTGGATGGGCCCTAGCCTTCTGCAGCTGTCTTTTTCAGGCGTTTCTCCATTTGGTGACTGAATTTTAATTAGAATTTGAATTCTAAATTTTAAAATAATTAGTTTGCAGATAATTATTTTTTTGAAAAAGGCAATGAGTATAAATGTAGTTATTATTATTAATATACTAGAAATGAATTAATATGAAAGCAGTGGTAATTAGTGTTGTGACATTTCAAATTCTTCATTTATTTATTTTATTTTTGAATTTGATGATTTGATGGTACGCTAATTAATATTTTCAGAACAAGTTTAATAATAAGGTATTCCATTCTAAAGGTAATTTTTAATAAATAATCCTTGTAGCCTTATTTATGCTTTTATGGAATTTTTTGAAACATTTTGAAAATTTAAAAAAAAATTTTGACGTTTTTTGAATCATAATATTTGCTGCAATTCGACTCCTTATTTATATTATAGGAAATTTGCAGGTATTAAGTTTATTAAGTTTAGTTAAGAGAACCATTTTTTTAAAGTTTTTATTTATTTATTTATTTTTGAGAGGGTATTAAGCAAAATATTTTGTGAATAACTTGATTATAATTATTTTAATGTCAATACATATTTTTGGTTACTTTAAGTTTCTTGGTTACCTTATATTACTTTGACTAATACAGGGAATGGACAAAATAATGGAAACATTTCTATACTAATAAATTTTTACATATTTCTTAAGAAATACTTAAAAAATCGTTTTTTAACTTCAGAAATGTTTAAACCATGCGATTTCTCATACTTATCAATGAAGTTTAAAGGTTTTTTGAGATTTGAGGGACCGACAATAAATTGCAAACGGAAAATAGTGTTTTGAATACCCTTTACCAAAAAATTTAGCAATAAGTTTGTAACTTTTAGCAATTACTTTAGTTATTATATGCAGTAATTTCACGAGCAGTTTCGTTAGCCTAGCTTAAATATTTATGAAAATATGGACATCTTTGTTAAAAAAATCTAACTTTTTTTGTCTTACATTTTTTTGTTATACCTTAAAAACTATTCAATAAAACTAAACAAAATGTTTAGTACCATTTAAAAATAATTACAAAAGTTGTTTAAAAATTTGTTAAAAACTGTTCAATGTTAAAGTAATTAAAGTAGTTCTTTTATACTGCTCATGCGCGGAAAAATTTAGCATTTTTTTGATTTGAATATCCTAAAAATTTAAAAAGTTTCAAGCAATTTTCTGAGTAGTTTTTGTACTTTTTAAAAGAAACTCAAAATGATAAGGGGTTTTCTACAAATATTATTTTGTATCGTAAGACAAAATTAAATAACTAATGTTAATACCTTATAATAAACGCCCATACACCTTAATATGATTGTATAAGGAAAGAAAACATGCCAAAAAAAGATACTTTTGTAGTGGGTAATCCCCAACAATGTCGGTTTCATTTTTTATCAAATCTTGTTTAATTAGAGAAAATAAAATTTGTGGAAAACCCCTGATCCAATTGAATTGAATTTTCTTTTAAAAAATACGAAAACTGCTTGAAACTTTTTAAATATTTAAGATATCTAAATTCGACTTTTTTTATTAGTTGCCAAATACGATTCACTGCAAATTTAAGAAAAACAAATTTAAAACTTTCTCACGCATGCGCAGTACAATGTAATTATTTTAATTACTCACTTCTTGCGTGGTCTTAAGCATATTTTTCTGAAATTTTAAAGTAATAATTTTGTAATTAATTTTTAATTTCTCCAAAAATGAGCTTATTCAATATTTTTAAAATTTATTGAACTTTATGGAATATTTTTAAAGTTATAGCAAAAAAAAAACGTCAAGAAATTTAGTTTTTTATAAAAATTTTCATATCGCCATAAATATTTAAGTTAAGTTTACGAAATATTGTGAAATTATTACTTATACAGTCAAACCCCGCTATAGTGAACCCGGTTCATAGTGAACTCCCGGATATAGTGAAAGAAATGTTCGGTCCCGTGCCTTGCTATACACGCATAATGTTATTTTTCGTTGATATAGTGAACCAAAAAAAAAAAAAAATGAGGAAGTTGGATATAATGAACTTTTTTCTGTCTTCGACTGATTTTTTTCTTTATTTTTTTGTAATAATTTGGAAATTTCTACTTCAAAATAAATACATATAGCGATTTTTAAAACCATCTATAGAGGGGAATGTAGTGATAAGCATTTTTTCTTGTTTGCTTCATTTATCTCTCTTTCCCATCCCTAAACAAACCAAGCAGATGTTTCCAACCCAGGCAGATGATGCGCCTGTAAGATGTCTGTGGGATTAATATGCATTTTCTCTCAGATGGAAAGAGTAATTATTCATTATTGGTCAAAGGGTTGGACACTAATATGTGTTGATAAGGCCCTCATTTCAACTACTTTTTGCTCTCAGTTCAGTTAAAAAAAAGGCCTGCAAACAAGTGTCTCAAATTTAACTATGGCGAGCAGTAAACGTAAAACGTTCTCCTTTGATGATAAAATCGGTATAATCAGAAAAATTGAAAATGGTTGCAATCAAGCTGATATTTTCAGGGAATATAAATTATCCAAATCTGCAGTTTGTAACATATGGAAAAATAGGCAATTAATAATTTCTGCTCATGAAAAAAATTTAGATGGCAGAAAAAAGTTGAGAAAAGCAGATCACAAGTATGCTGAAGAAGCATTACTGAAATGGTTCACCATTCGAAGAAGCCGCAATCTTCCAGTATTTGGATAAATGTCGATGAATTTGTTAAGTGATTTTATGAGACTACTTTTACGTGCTCGGATGGCAGGTTAGACCATATATGGCAACGTTACTTTTAAAAAGTAACGAGTAAAAGTACAAGTATTTTTAAAAAAAGTAACGAGTAAAAAGTAAATATCTTGTATTTTAAAAAGTAACGAGTAAAAAGTACAAGTAAAAGTACAAGTACTAAACAAAAAAAGTAACGATTTAAAAGTACATTTCTAGGAAATCGAAAATTCAAAGTAACCTAAAATTTTATTGAATAATATTCTTATGTTCTTTAATGTTTTTGCAAAATTGTTGTT